CATGAAAAATAGAATAAAGATAGAACCCAAATTCCTCATGAACCCAATTGAAGAGCAATGAAGTTTTATTTTTCTGAACTCATAGTCCAAGATGGGGCTTGAAAATTAGAATCCCTTCTACTGCTGTATTTCTCCAGCCTGATTGAAACCCCAAACGAGACAATATTTCGACCGCAGTTGGACTTGCAGAAACATACAAAAGTCCTGGGTTTGATTCCTGGGTCAGAAAGATCCCCTGGAGAAGGGGATGGCTCCCCACTGCAGTATTCTTGCCTGGAAAATTCTGTGGACAGAGGAGCCTGGCAAGCTGTGGTCCATGGGGTCACAAAGAGTCAGAAACAGCTGCGGGACAGACACCTTCACTTCAGCCAGGGCCTAAGCAGTCGGGAATGTCTGGATCGGCCCTCACAGCTGTGTTCAACCTGTGATGAGAAACTGTTCACTGATGCAAGAAGCTCTTTTCCTATTTCCTGTCAGAGGGGAAATCTACTCTCAACTAGCCATAACTTGTACCATTGTCTTCATTCTGGTCATATTTAATTTCCTGTTGCCGCCCACCTGTGATGAAGCCATTCTATACATTAATTTTTCCTATCCTTTAATTTCATATAAGTGGAATCACATAGTCCATTTCCTTTGTATCTGGCCAAGTTTATTCATAAAATGATTTTGAGATTCATCCATTCACTAGACAGTGTCTACCTGTATTAATACACTACAATTTGCTTATCAATTTTCCTGTCAGTGGGCATTTGAAATCTTCCTGCTTTTCGGTTCTCATGAATACAGCCTCCATGAAAGTTTTATACACTATGAACATATGTTTTTATTTCTGTTGCATAAACAACTAGGAATAAAGTTGCTGGGCATAGAGTTAGAGTATGTTTACCTTTATTGTTGTTTAGTCACTATGTCGTGTTTGACTCTTTGTGGCCCCAAGGACTGTAGCCCACCAGGCTCCTCCATCCATGGATTTCCCAGGCAAGGATACTGAGTGGGTTGCCATTTCCTTCTCCAGGGATCTTCCCAACCCAGGGATGAAACTCATGTCTCCTGCATTGGCAGGTGGATTCTTCACCACTGGTGCCTGGGAAGCCCAGGTGTTTACCTTTATTAGAAACAATCAAATGCCTTTCCTAAGTGCTTGTACCATTTAACATTCTCATTAGCAATGTATGAGAATTTAAGTTATGCCATATATACACCAAATTTTAAGTTTTCAGTTTTTTTTTATTTTATCCACTCTAAATATTATATGGTAGTATCCCATTGTGGTTTAACTTGCATTCCCCTGATTACTAATGATATATATTTTCTCTTTGTTTTTGGCCACCCATGTATCTTTTTTTGTGATGTGTCTACTATCCATCTCTCTATTAGATTGTCTTTATTATTTATTTTTCAGAAATACATACATATATATACATATATGTATATGTATATACTTGATATGAGGGCTTCCCTGCTGGCTCAGATGGTAAAGAATCTGCCTGAAGTACAGGAGACCCAGGTTCGACCCCTGGGTTGGGAAAGATCCCCTAGAGAAGGAAATGGTAGCCCACTCCAGTATTCTTGCCTGGAGAATCCCATGGACAGAGGAGCCTGGTGGGCTACAGTCCATGGAGTCGCAAAGAGTCAGACACAACTGAGCAACTGACACTTTCATTTTTATACGTAGATATAAGGCCTATGGCAGATATTTGTGCTGTGATCACTTTCTTGTGGTTGAGGCTTCGCTATTCATTTTTTAAAACACTGTCTTTCAATGAAGAGATTTTACATTTTATTAAGTGCAATTTATCATTTTTTATACTTAGACATCTTGTGACTAGTTGAAAGCATCTTTGCCTACCTCAAGATTATGAAGATATTCTCTAGATTTGGCTTTAACATTTCAACAGAGTTTCTCAATTTCAGCACTATTGGCTGGACTAGACAATCTTTTTTTGAGGGGAGGTGTGGTCCTACACTTTGTGGGATGTTAAGCAGTACCTTGGTCTCTAACCCCTAGGTGGGGTAGCATTAGTGGTAGCAGCAATGGTAGCAGGAGTTTTCAAGATCAGTTTTTCCATATAGGGATCTACTAGATCCAGCACTGTTTGTTTAAAAGACTCTCCATTTCCCATTGTTTTGAACTGGCAAAAGACAATGGAAACCAATTTGATGTTAATATGTGTGTTTATTTCTGTATTTTCTAGTCTACCCCATTGATCTATTTGTCTATACTTATTTTTCCCTGTTCAAAATTTTCTTGAATATTCTAGATTGCTTGCATTATAATATACATTTAGAATTATTGGTTGGATTATACAAAAGAATTTCATAGGGTTTTAATTGAGATTACTTTGGAACTATAGACATCTTTAAAATGCTGACTTCTGATCCACGGTATATTTCTCCATGTATTTGGGTTCTATAACTTTCAGTAAAATATATGTCATAATTTTAAATATAGAAGTTTTACACATCTTTTGTAAAATGTATTCCACATACTTGATGTTTTCTGATACTATTATAAATTGTATAGTTTTCGTTTTACACTCTAATTGTTTGTTGCTGTATATATTTCTAATTTCTTTATAAAGACCAAATCTAATTATTTTGCAAGTTTTATTCTAGAATTTACTAGTTTATAGAATTCTTTTGATTTTCTAGGTCACAATCACATTGTTTACAGACAATTAGATTTATTTTTTTCCCAATTTTTATGACTTCTTTTTTCTTGCCTTATTTCACTATCTAGGACCTCCATCACAAGGTTGAATAGAAGAGTGAAAAGTGAACATTCATGCACTCTTCCTGATCTTAGGCGTAAAGCACTTAATACTCAACCATTAAGTGTGCTGCTAACTGTAGAGTTTCATATTCAACAAGCTCCTTTCTCTTCCTTGAGGGCTGAGTTTTGTTCCTGCAGGCAATCACATGCTGAGAAATATCACAGCACCCTGGAAATTTGGCTTTAGGTCTTTCAAGGGCAAGTCTGTTGTGTCTCTTCGTGTAGCTCTACAACATAGCCCTTACTTCTCAGCCGTAAGATAGGGCGCTTCTGAGAGTTCAGGAAACATTTACTGTTTACCACTTCCACTCCAAATTCTTACTTTGCAGCACAGGCAGCTGCTGAAATCTCTGCTCAATTCTCTCACCTCCTGGGCACTTCCTTCCTCTGTGTACGTACTTTAGGAGTCAGCCAAGGACTTGAGTGGAATTTATGAGCAGACTTGCGTGCTCCCATCTCATGGGTTCTCTCATTTCTTAAAATTCTCCACTCAATTCCAGGTACCCTGCAGCCTCAAATTCCAGTTTTATCTTTTCAACTCAGTAACTTTGCACTTTCCTTATGATCTATATTCTTTGCAGACTAGGAAGTGTTCTCAGAGGGCAAGCTGGATAAATGGGGGGTTCGTTTTCTTTCCTTTCTTCCAGTGGCTGAAATCCTGATTCTTTCCTAGTTTTAGTTGCTTTCCAATATCTTCAGCCATTATTTTTTCTTATTTTGTTCAGAATAAATGTGTGTATAGCAGGAGGCTTAGTCAGCCGAAAACTGCTCCATAATTACCAGGTTATAACTATCCATACTGGATGTCTTCAGTTCAGTTCAGTTCAATCACTCAGTCGTGTCCGACTCTTTGCGACCCCATGGGCTGTAACCTACCAAGCTCCTCCATCCTTGGGATTTTCCAGGTAATAGTACTGGAGTGGATTGCCATTTCCTCCTCCAGAGGATCTTCCCGACCCAGGGATCGAACCCGAGCCTCCCACATTGTAGACAGACGCTTTACCATCTGAGCCACCAGGGAAGTCCAGCTCCTCAAACAAAACTTTTCTCTGATCTGAGAGTTCCCAAAGATGCTGTTTCTCTACCTAAAATATCTCTCTTATTCTTTGACTGGCTTCCAACCACCCATGATGTCTCTGTTTAAATATCAGTCACTCAACAAAGTCTGCTCTTACTATTTCCTAACTCATCCAGGTTTGCCTTGCTGCTACACATTCCTAGAGCACCCTGCACTATTTTTGTAGTATTTGTAAGGTTCATCCTGCATATGGTTATCTGTTTAACACTTTCCTCTTTCTTAGAATGGAACCTCCGTGAAAGCAAAAGTCTTGCCTTGCGTTCCACACCTGGCTGATTAGAAAGTACTTGGTAGATATTTATATCTTTTCGCAAAACCAAGATGTAAAATATTTTTATTATCTTGTCACAGATATTGTGAAGGTGATTTATTAAAATCATTCATGAAAGAATCCATCAGAGCACAGACATGTGTACAAGTAGGTATTAGGCGATAATTATAGTAAAATTTACTTTTGTCTACTTGGCTAATATTTTCTACTATGTGTTCAAACTATGTAATATTTTGTGTCCAGCTCAAGAAAGCGACAATAGTAGAAAACAGCTGTTTAAAAATATAAATTCAGAGAAGTCTTCTGGCAGCTTTTGTATCATCACCAAGAAATACATTCAATAACATTAATGATTTATCATTGATATCATCAGCCCAAAGACTATTTTTACAGCTTTAAAAATAATTTACTGCTTAAGCATAAGTAAGATATTCGTTTCTACTAACCAGAGCGCCCTTCTCCCCTGCAGCTGAGGCTCACATATTAATAAAATGTACGCATCTGGAGAGCTGAATGAACTGATCCTAGACAACAGGGTGGCATTGTGATAGACACCATTGAATATATTTTATATTTTCTTTAGAAAATCAAACACAGTTAGGGAATCAGACTTTGAAGAACCTCGAACTTTATCAGGTCCTCCACTAACTCCAATTAAAAACCAGGGTCTAGCACGGGGCTTGGCACACAGTAGCTGTTGAATAAATATTTATTTAACACATCAGTGAAAGTAGTCATGACAAAAAATCCAAACAAAGGCAATTATAATAGACAAAGTTTATTGATTAATCCAGAAACATAGCCATTAAAAAAAAAAGTATAAACCAAGTCATTGCTTTCAGTCAATGAAAGCCGGTGCTCCGCGGGTGTGGACTCTAACCCAGGCAGCTCTGACAGCGCTGAAGACCGTTCTCGTTGCAAGCCGTGCACTTCAGGGCCTTGAAGGAGTCTGTGAAGCAGTTTCGGAACACCGACATCTTGCTTCCATGGCAGACACAGCACGGGACGAAGCCAAAGCCTCCGCAGGAGGGGCACTCGTGCGGATGCTGCACTCTCTGGACGGGCGGCGGGAGGACAAGAAGGACAGGATTTGTGTTAGCATGACAACGCCATCGGCCCCCCATCTTTCTGCACTGTGGGCAGTTATGGAACAATGTCAGCATACGACGGTGGAGCATCTGCAATCATCTACCCCTCTAACACACAAGAGACGCGCAGGAGTGCCCTCGAACATTCCCTTCATGGCCTCATTGATGGCATCAGCACCACAAGCCTGGTGCGTAAAGGCTGGCACATGTGAAGTTAAAGGGCACATCATTTGAAAACTTCCAGAAATCCATCGTATGAAAACACATATTGACAAATCTTAAGAAATTCAGAAGATGGTAATTTGCCTTAAAGGAAAATACTGTAACTTTCCTTTTAGTATCACTTCCTAGTTTTGTATCTTTACAGAAGAGCAGCACTAATAGAAAGTCTGGAAAATTAGAAAAAATAAAAGCTGGATTGGAGGAGCCTCTGTCAACTGAAGATTCATCATCATGTTGAACATACACATAATGCTTTGTTTTTTAAAAAGCACTTCCAAATGCATCATTACATAGAATCTTCTCTCCGCTCATCCTTCACACATAAGAATACCTTCTTACGTAAAGCAGCAAATTCAAACAGCACTGTGCTGTGCTGAGTCACTCAACTGTGTGCGACTCTTTGCGACCCCATGGTCTGCAGCCCTCCAGGCTCCTCTGTCCATGGAGATTCTCCATCCAAGAATCCTGCAGTGGATTGCCATGCCCTCCTCTAATACCATTACCTTCTTTTTACATTTAAAGAAACAGACATCGAAATCTTGAGATTTATCTAAGTCCACAAAACTACCCACCACAACTATCAGCCTTTCTACCTCAAGTAAAAATAAAAGTACCCGTTACAGCAGAATGAAATTAACTAGGAAGCATGCTTTTGTTGTTTAGTCAAGTCACGTCCAACTCTTTTGCTGCCCCATGAACTGTAGCCCCCCAGGTTCCTCTGTTCATGGGATTTCCCAGGCAAGAATACTGGAAAGGGTTGCCAGTTCCTTCTGCAGGGGAGCTTCCTGACCCAGGGATCCAACCCTAGGTCTCCTGCATTTCAAGTGAATTCTTTACTATTGAGCCAGCATGTTAAGGATATTTTGAAAATTTTCCATACACATTCCCATTCTCTTTTTTGAACATATAACCTCTGCTGGAGTCCGCAAGTGGCAACCATCTGCTGGTGGAGCTTCGGAGCCATTAGAGTGAATACAAAGAGAATGGGAGTTAACACAAGCTTCCGACTTGCAAAATAAGAACTCTCAGCAATGTTTGAAAGCCGGCTTTTGTGACAAGAAGAACTGCCAAGATACACTTGGGAAATGTAGATACACACACATGCACACACAGGCAAACACAGCTTACATACTTAGTTACACATATAGACTTTCTCTAGAAATTCACAATTGTACTTAATAACGTCTCCAAAAAATCCAATGGAAAAGGAAACCAATTAACTAGGTTTAACCCACCATGTTCCCAGCCAGAAATTCTTTCCTAGAAAGCAACTACAGTTTTCTCATAATCAGTACCCTTTGGGATGTGCTTTGGGAAAGAAATATTAAGGATCTGATTGCTTTAAAAGTTATATATTTCCAGACCACTTTTCAGAGCTGCATATTCTGTATTCAGTAAGATTCGTTTACAGTTACCATTTGACTTGGTTATTAGATCAAGATAGCAAAATTCATATCATATCTTATTTTAGTAATGGAATTACTTTGATGGAAAGTAGTGATTTCTAGTCAGAAGGACACAAACAAGAAATGTTGTCAAGTCTGTGAGATTCAAAGCTCTTCCAAAAAGTTAGATTGTATGTAGCAATGTAGTTTCTCTGTAGCTGGGAGTAGTTGCTTTTATGGAAGAGGAGAGCTGCTTGGAGTAGTAGCTATTTACTAAACAGTGTAAATCTTAATAACAAGTATAAACATTTCAATATTTTAAAATTCTTCAATAGCATAAGATTTTCCCATAAAATACATTTGTGCAGGAAGCAAAGAACAGCAAAGCTAGAATGAATGTGAGTGGTAGGGAGTTTCCTAGGCTCATTCACCATCTGTGTCACTTACTCCAAAAACCAGGCTCTTAACACAGAGAAATAATAATAATAATAAACACACAACCAAATTAAAAATTACTGAAACCAAGCAGAAACCTATAAGGCTTTCCTGGGGACAAATACCTTCCCACCTCACCCCCCGCCTCTCGTTTATAGAAAAGCTTTTGACTCCTAGCCGTCCCTGAGTTCCAAAGAGAAAATTTAATCAGAAAAGTGAAAAAAAAAAATGCAGAAACAAATGAAAACAGTCAGGCAAGACAAAATAATAATAATTTAACCATGAAATAAAGTCAACTCCTTTTGTTACTCCTCAAGGGCAGAAGATAATATCCTGAGCCATATCCCTGAATTGTTTTGCAGATACTAAGATTCCCACCCCCACCTGGCCACATCCAGAGTTCATTTCTCAGTCATTTCAGACTCTTTGTGACCCCATAGACTGGAGCCCACCAGGCTCCTCTGCCCTTAGAATCCTCCAGGCAAGAATAATGGAGTGGGTAGCCATTCCCTCCTCCAAGTGATCTTCCTGATCCAGGGATCAAATCCCGGTCTCGTGCATTGCACGTGGATTCTTCACCATCTAAGCCACCAGGGGAGCCTCAAGTGGAAGAGGTGAACTGCATGCTGATCACTAGCATGTAGACACCAGGGAGGTTGGAATCAGAAGGTTGAGGATGTTAATTCACCCTGTCCCCTCCCCACCAACCAATCAGGTGGATGTCCATGAGCTGATCAAACATCCTATGACCCTGTCCCTCCCTTATCTTTAAAAATCCTCCCTTGAAAGTCATTGAGGAATTCAAACGTGAGCTGTCCCTACCTCTTTCTTGGCCCCACACTGGATGCCTCACAATAAATGCTGAACTTTCCTTCACCACAACCTGGTAGGAGTCGATTGGGTTTACTGTTTAGGCCAGGGGACCCAGATTTGGTTCGGTAACATTATCTTATATCATGGGCTTGGAACGTGACTTACAAAGATTACTCTCAAAGGGCCAAAATATCAAATGTTAAACACATGATGAGTCTGCTATTTAATAACTTCTCTGCAATTCAGAGGAACTTCCCTGGTGGCTCAGAGGTTAAAGCATCTGCCTTCAATGCAGGAGACCTGGGTTCAATCCCTGGGTCAGGAAGATCCCCTGGAGAAGGAAATGGCAACCCACTCCAGTACTCTTGCCTGGAAAATCCCATGGATGGAGAAGCCTGGTGGGCTACAGTCCATGGGGTCACAGAGTCGTATATGACTGAGCAACCTCACTTCACTGCAATTCAGAACACATAAATTTCCTAATGAAGTTGATATATAAACACTAAAAGCCACAGTGTCCATTTTAAAAGGAATCACTGATAGACCAAGGTCATCCTAAAACAACTTTGTCAGAATTATGCAACGCTTTGGTAAGATCTTTTACTTAAAGGGTTGTTGAGACAATTTAATGAGTAAATTCATGTAAAGTGAATGGAATACTGTCTGGCACATAGTAGCTACTCAGTAAGGCTAGCAGTTACTAGCCATTATTTTATTAATAAATCCTAATCTGAGGAGATTTTTATTAACTGCTGCCTCAAGCTAAGTTGCTTGTGGTCACATGACACAGGCATTTTCTACCACTAATAAAGTCATTTTATTTAAATACCTCTTCTATAATTAGTCTTCTGGTCTAAAGCCTTGCCACAGAAAAGGAGAGTAAAATTTTGATTCACATGTGAATTCTGATGTCTTGGAGCACAGCATTGGAAAGATTCTGAGGCCATTTCCACTCTCAAGAAAAATCAGCCCTTTGGGGAGAAAAAAGGGTGGCTTACCCAGCATGTAGGATTGCATGGTCAGGCCATTCAGCATGGCCGTTCTCTTGCTCTCTACATCCGCCGCTCAATTAGTCCCGGCTTCACCTACACTCTACTTGCAAGACCGAGCTTCCTTCATTTTTAAAAAATTTGTTTATTTATGTATTTTATTTTTTATTTTTGGCTGCACTGGGTCTTCGTTGCTGCGTGCAGGCTTTCTCTAGTTGCAGCAAGTGGGGGCTACTCACTGCCATGCGTGGGCTTCTCACTGCAGCAGCTTCCCTTCTTCCAAAGCGCGGGCTCCAGGCACGCTGGCCTCAGGGGTTGCTGCGCCTGGCCTGAGTAGGTGTGGCTCACGGCCTTAGTTGCCTCAGGGGACGTGGGAGCCTCCTGGACCAGGAGTTGAATCAGTGTCTCCTGCATAGGCACATGCATTCTTAATTAACCACTGGGGCCACCAAGGAAGCCCCTGACCTTCCTTCTTAACTGCAGAGCCTGATTAGTAAATACCTACATACCTGGCCCTCACCCGAGTTAGTGACTGTTCCAATCTTTAGATGAGAATGGCTCCCCCTTGGATAGTTTAATGAAGGGAAGAACTCTGCCCCGGGAGGGTACATAGCCTAAGGGGCTAAAAGCGGACATCCTCCTCTGCCGGTTTCCCTAGTAACCCATGAGCCGATCTACAATGTTTCTCCCTGTGACTGGTAGTCTCCCTGTTCTTCCTGGGAGTGAAGAGCTCTGCTGCGGTGTCCAGCCTGCCACCTGCCTCCCAGCGGCGGGATGCTGCTCCAGGACCTTCTGCTTCAGACGTGGTGGTGTTCAGTCCCTCGGTCATATCTGACTCTTTGCCGCCCCATGGTCTGCAACACGCCAGGCTTCCCTGTCCTTCACCATCTCCCAGAGTTTGCTCAAACTCGTGTCCATTGAGTTGGTGATGCCATCCAACCATCTCGTCCTCTATCATCCCCTTCTCCTCCTGACTTCTATCTTTCCCAGCATCAGNCAATGAGTCAGCTCTGCATCAGGTGGCCAAAGTATTGGAGCTTCATCAGTCCTTCTAATGAATACTCAGGGTTGATTTCCTTTCGGATTGACTGCTTGATCTCCTTGCCGTCCAAGGGACTCTCAA